GAGTCGTACACACCTGGTGCCGGCAGTTGTGAGGTGTTTCGCATCCTGGTTTGGAGGGAGATTTTTGTGAAGGAGTTTTGGAGGCAGGCGAGGATCCCTTGGGAAGTGGGGGGGGGAGATGGGTGTCCAAGACCCAATGACTGAGGGAGCCATTTTGACTTTTTGGACCTCATCCCACAGACACCTCAAGGACTAAGTCCAGCTCCAAACTGGACCCCCAAATCTGCCTTTTTAGTGCTCTCTTACAGTGTGTCTCAACCTTGTCAACTTACGACGGCGTTTCACACTTACAACCATTGCAGCATCCTCATGGTTATCTGTGAAATTTAAGATGGGTGGACTTCAGCTCCCAGAATTCCCTGGCTAGCATGCTAGAATTCTGGGAGTTGAAGTCCACCCGTCTTAAAGTATGATAGCATGATAGCTGGGGAATTCTGGGAGTTGAAGTCCACCCGTCTTCAAGTTCACATATAACAGTGTTTCTCAACCTTGACAATTTTAAGGCATGTGGACTTCAACTCCCAGAATTCCACAGCCAGCAATGCTGGCTGTGGAATTCTGGGAGTTGAAGTCCACATGCCTTAAAATTGTCAAGGTTGAGAAACACTGACATATAACCATCAGGATGCTGCAATGGCCGTATGTATGAAAAGCCATCATAAGTCACTTTTTTCACTGCTGTTCTAACTTTGAATGGTAGCTAAAGAAATTGCAACTCCCAGTAAGCAGAACAGTGGACAAACATCGGGGTCGCTGGCCAACAAAAGTCAGAGGTGCCCAATCCTGAGGGTTATACCAAAGATGGTTAACCCCAAACATAGCTTGCCCTGATGGCAAGCAAACAAGGTTGGCTGTTTTGATGACACCTTAAATCAGAACTCTGAAGAACTCGAGCAACGATTCCAACAGGAGACAAAGTGCCAAGTGGGTTTTATAGATTACTTAGCGGGATGCCTGAACCAGACAGGGTCTCAATTCAATAATAACACACTTGTTGTGATTTAGACCAAGATGCTGTCCTTGGAACAACTCTGAGTGACTTACATTCAAAAAGGGGAAAAAACAAATTAAAAAGACGATGTTACGGTCCTGGGTACATAAATCCATTGGAACAGGAAAGTCAGAAAAGTCATGACCTTGGGGGGATAAATGCAACCCAGAACGAGTGACGAATGTGGAAAGAATTGCCAGAAGTTAAACAATAAATATTAAACTTCAAAAAAGGCAGAGAACAAAAATATGCAGCATGCCCCACATCTGTTACCCAGAAGAAAAAAAAACCTGGAGCATTGAGTCTCCAGATCGATGCTTAGGACCCAGGCAACAGAGAGAGAAATGCGATAGAGTAATTGAAAATGCCCTTGGCCTCCAACTCAAAGCTTACTTATGCTCTGCAGGTTATTATTCTCACTTTAAAAAACCAGGAAGAGAGTCTTTGACTGTATAATGGCCAAAGGGCGGGGAGAGGAACACAATCTATCTTACGACACAAAATATTGTGTATCGCGCACGGGTAGGGGGTCTTAGAAGCCAGAGTTCTTACATGCCATTTGCCAATTCTGGGAGAAAAACAGAGGCTAAACTCAAGGGGTGTGTGATGTCACAAGAAGGGGCAGGGCTTCGGATGCCCGACTGCAGCTGCCATCTTGACTTTTTTGACCCCCTGCCCCACAAACATCCCTACTAGTTCTAGTTCTAGAGGTCCTGGTGAGAGACGCAGAAAACAAACCATTGCAGATACAAAGTGGTTCTCGGCTTACAACAGTTCATTGGGTGACCGAAGTTACAATGGGTGTGGGAAAAAAGTCAATGGGGAAGCGAGATACACTTTAAGAACTGTGTTACTAACTTCAGTGATTCACTTAATAACCGTGGCAGGAAAGGTCGCAAAATGGGGCAAGATTCACTTTTTTTTACAAAATAATATTTTATTAATTTTCTATTATTACATTAGTGCTTAATGAACAACGTGTCGTCTGGGTTGATTTGATTTGCTTACTAATACAAGTTGAGTTTTTACTCTCCGTCCCGTTTTTCCGGCCACTGATGAAATAAGTTCCGGGTGTGAAAATCTTCTGTCTCTTCTTTTTTCTCTGATTCTCAATGTGAGTCTGTCCATTTCAGTCCAGTCCAGTGTTTTCTTGATTATCGCTTCATCCAGTGGTGTTTCTTCATCTTTCCAAAATTTCACAACAACCGTTTCGCTTAGCAACCTAAACGCTGGGCTCAACTGAGGTCGCAGCTGGAGGACCACCAGTGCTTCCCAGCTGCTGCACCAGCTTATCCGGGACCCAGTTCCTACTGGAGAGCCTTCCAGCTGAAATGATGGAGGCATCACTATCCCCACCGTCAACGCACAGGGGCCGGGCTGGCCGGAAAGAGGGCAAATCCCTCAACCGTCCAGGTTATTTGGGGCAGTTCATGGGGCAGTCCTTGGCAAGCCTCCCCCTCCCGGCCCAGCCTCCCTTTCAGGGGTGTGGTTTGGCCTTTGGGGTCCCCACCTTCATTCTTTGCGGTCTGCTTCTCGTCTGGCGAAAGAAATCGGCCCGCCCATTAAAGCAGAGAAGCTCCCCCAAATTCAGCAGAGAGGAGAGGAGCCTGCGTGGTGCCAAAATTCTTTCTATTTACTATGTTGTGCTCTGGGGCTCGCTAGGTCTTAATTTACACCTCCAATTTTCCGGGTGCCTGGGGTTGGCTTAAACAGAACAAACAGAGTTGGAAGGGACCTTAGAGGTCTTCTAGTCCAGCCCTCAGCTCAAGCAGGAGACCCTAGAGAGCATTTCTGACCAATCCATTTACTTGTTTTCTTTCTGCATTTGCAGGCAGTTCCCTACTTATGGCCACCACTGAGCCCAAAATTTATATCGCTAAGCGAGACATTTGTCAAGTGAACTTTGTCCCGTTTTACAACTTTTTTTTTCTTTTGCCACAGCGGTTAAGCGATTCACTGTAGTTGTACTTGGGAAAATGTCCGAAGGTTGCAAAAGGGGAACCTCTGCAACTGTCATAAACATGAACCATTTGCCAGGCCTCCGAATGTGGATCAGGTGACCAGAGGAGGCTACAACAGTCGTGAGTGTGAAAAATAGTCGCAAGTCCCTTTTTTCAGTGCTGTTGTAACTTTGAACAGTCACTAAAAGAACTGTTGTAAGTCAAGGACAAACTGTTTTCTTTCTTTCTTTCTTTCTTTCTTTCTTTCTTTCTTTCTTTCTTTCTTTCTTTCTTTCTTTCTTTCTTTCTTTCCTCTCTCTCACATCTATCTATTTAACTCTATTATGTATTTCTGTCTGTCCGTCTGTCTATCTATCTATCTATCTATCTATCTATCTATCTATCTATCTATCTTTCATCTATCTATCATCTATTTAACTCTACCTATTAACTCTCTTTCTCCCTCTCTCTCTCTCTCTCTCTCTCTCTCTCTCTCTCTTTCTCTCTCTCTCTCTCCCCCAACATAATCTGAAACTTTTAGCAACCTGCAGCTGGCAAAACAGCGCCTCAAGACATGTACAGAGAACATTTCCGTCGCAAGAGCACAATCCGATCCTGTCATTACATCCATAGCACAAGAGCTTGCAACATAGACCCTGCTGATTTTTATAGTGCATATAAACCCAGATTCTTATTTTAGAAAATTAATCACTGGTTGTCCGACAGTCACGTGCTCCGAAGGACCTTGGCGTCTGGCCCGCATGCCTGTACCGAAGTCTGCAAGGTGCAGGGAGGACTCCTGTATTAGATATGTCACACGTAAGGCTCCTTTGGCGCAGCACTCTGTTAATCCTTTTGGCCTAGTTAGAATCGCTGCCCAAGCAAAGGGGAAATAAATAACAGCATCCACAAAGCCAAAATTCTCACGTTGTGAAGGTTGAAATAGCTCTATATCCTTCGCAACGCCTCCTGGTCCCCTTTCTTGCTAACCGTGAGATGGGAAGGCCGACGTCTGCTGCCCCCTGGGTTCATCCAAGTCCACAAACAAGCCAGTGTTAAAAGCGCCCTACTGAGTAGATCTATAACCCAATTCACAGAAGGGGAAGACTGAGACAGATGCAGATAGATCTGCAAAGAGTCCTCACAATGCTTCCATGTCCTGCCCTGGCTCTGATTCTCCAAGGGGTCATCATCCTCCCTCAAGTCTCAGCCCCCCTACCAAGTGCCTCTTGCCTAGACCAATCTAGTCCCATCAATAGGAGCTTAACAAGAAAAAAAAAAAAAAAAAGGAAGAGAATAACCTGGTCGGGATTCCGAATACAGATACAAATCAAACCAACTTCCTTCAAGTCCTAGATTCACATGCCTGAGATTTTACGGATTCACAAATGTAGAGGCGGACCGTAGTTTTGCAACAAACAATTGTGCATCACTGCTTGGAATATGTGTACGAGCCGAGAGAGGCACCCCAAACTGGGCCTAAATGCCAGAAGCCTGAACTGTGGCTGAAAAAGAACAGCCGATTTGGATTGGACAGAGTAGAACAGAAGGCGCAAGAGAGAGAGGAGGAAGGAAGGAAGGAAGGAAGGAAGGAAGGAAGGAAGGAAGGAAGGAAGGAAGGAAGGAAGGAAGAAAGAAAGAAAGAAAGATTAAAATAACGGGAAAAAGAGACAGGAAGAAACTAATAAAAGATGAAGGAATGGATCGTGAAAAACATAGACAGAGGAGAAGAAAGAGAAGATCTACGAAATGGCGAGCAAGCAAAGAAACAGCCGAGAACGAAACACATCGCAGAAGGAAAGAACAAAATGTGCCAGAGCAGATCAGGGGACAGAGAAGAAACGGGAGAAGTAACTGATGGAAAAGCCAGAAGAGAAAGAGAAGGGGAAAGAGAAGGAAGGAGGAGGAGGGTATCTGCCCAAAAACTTGAACATCAAAACACAGGAGGAAAACGGAGCAAAGCCTGAAGGCGAAGCAGCCCACGGGAGAAGAAGCACACGCGAGCCAGAAAGAGGACGAGGGGACGGCAGAGGGCACAGCCACCGCAGCCAAAGAGTGCCCGGACTCACCTGCCCCGGAGCCCCCCACGGGCCCAGCGTCCTGCCTAACGGCCCCATCAGTCGCTGCCATCCACTGACCGACGACTCCTTGCCAAACCCCGAGCCGAGCGGGCTCCTCTCCATATGTGGAACTGTATCCTACCTCCACCCACCGCGTCACGGCCTGGCACGGGGCCGGGAACACGTGATGTACACAAGACCTGTCATGTGTTCAGCCTCCAGCACGCGAGGGCCACCGGCTTCCTTGCCCGGAGGAAAACAGCCCACAGCAAAGGCTGGGGAGAGGAAGGACACGTGGGAGGAGGAGGAGGAGGAGGCTGGCTTGGGACAGCAGCCAGTCGAGATGCCTGCAAAGGGGAAAAGGCCGAAGCAGAAAGCCAGAGTCAGCGAGCAGCGGCCGCCAGAGGGTGCCCGCAAAGCTGTGGGGGAGAACCCCGAGCAGTGCCAGGATGTGAGGCAGAAGAGAAAGCCCAACCCGGAAGCAACGGATTACGCTGATGCAAAGCATTTACCCGGCAGCGGGTAAATATTTTAAAAAGGTCCCTCCTCCTAGCCCAAATAACTTCCCAGAAGTTTTCAACCGCTGGCTGGGCACAGCCGTGGGCACCCCGAACAGCCGGTCCCAGAGGCTGCAAGAGTTTGCAGCGCTGGAAACACACCAAGGGCTCCTTGCAAAGTTGCCGATGGCTTCTCCTTAAGGCGAAAGTCCGGGGAGTCCCAGAACTGCCCTCCTGGAACCGGCAGGAGCCGTGCCCTTTGTGGGCAGGGAGGGCTCAGGACCTCTGAAAAGTAGCCAGGATGGGCAGGAGATCCGCTCCAGATTCTGAACTGGGTAGGGCTGGATTTAATCGATCCCAGCCGGGATCCTTTGGAGGGAAGGAGATAGATCCCGGGTCCTTAGCCGAATCGACAGGTGCGTATTTCCCCAGAGCCATTCCCTTCTTCCCGAGGGCAGAGGTGGTGAGCGGCTGAAGTGGGCCTTATTCATTTCAGCTCATCCAGGCTTCTCCTTACCTTTGATGCTTTGACCAGGACATCCCTGCGTTACACAGTCATGGTCAGGGCTGATGCACGCCTCCGCCCCGCAGCAAGCTCTCCGCGCTCATCTTAGCCAGGCTCCGCCAGAGACTGAAACTCTTATAGGCTAGTAGCAAACATTCGAAAGAGGGGGAGGAGGGGCGAAGCGAGGTCTGCCTTGGCCCCGTGCCTCTGACGGGTGGAAAGGAGCCAGGTTTGTCCTCCCCAGGCACAGCAACCGAGAGCTGCCTTAGAACAGCCAGTGCGGCAAATTCTGCAGCCTGGGAGCCCTGCAGAGGACAGGGCAGCGCAGCCCCTTGGGGGCAACGATGCTCCCCTGGGCACACACACTACCCCCTCCCCACCGGCCCCAACTGCACAGTCCCCAAGCAACCTATCGAGGTCCAAATGCCTTTCGGCAAGCTGAACAGCACATGCCAGGTGGAAGGTGGCTTCAAGCTGGTTGTTTCCATTCCTTTCTGACCCCCAAAGCCTCCTGCCGCCCCATCTGTAGTCTCCGTGACCCACTTTTGGGAAGATCCGGGTGGATTTGACCTACATCCTGATCACCTTGTCTCCCACACGCTACAGGAGCTGGTCTGCCGGTCTGGCTTCAAGACCTTTTTTTTTCCCAAAAAAAAATTTTTTTAAACCCTCTCTCAATCTCAGGGTGCCTAGAGCACTCCTGGCAATGCAGGTCGATCCCAGAAGCCCCCCCTTTTCCCCCTCCCCAAATCTCTTGGCAACATAAACTTCCAGCCTCCAACCTTTGTGGGTGCAAAAGCTTGTTGCGAGACCAACATTCCTAAACATGACCACAAAGTGGGCTTCTTTAAGCCACTCGCAAAATTTCTGCTTGTTGATAATATGACGGCCACAATAAGTGACATCTCGGGATTGGCTGGGTCGGTTTCTCCACAGTCCTACTGTACAAAAATCCCTGCCAGTTGTGTGCTTTTTTGCCTTGCTGTTTGTTTTTCCCTTTGAGAGTGCCATTCAGTATGAACATACAAATATATCTCTAACTCATCTATCTATCTATCTATCTATCTATCTATCTATCTATCTATCTATCTATCTATCTATCTATCTATCTATCTACCTATCTCAGACACTTATGTAGACAAACATAAGTGTGTGTGTGTATACATACATACATATATGTATGTATACACACACACACACAAACACACACACACACATATACATATATAGAGACTATATCTCACTCCCATATTCTCACAACGGGAGAATGCTACGAAACTCTCCAAGCAGAGATATTTTTGAAAAAGAGTTTTTCAGAAGACCTCTGCTCCCCCTCCCTTTCCCATGGGTGGATTCCCTGCGCCCCCCCTCCCCCTTTCTAATCCACACGATTAAATAACCCATCTGGGGTCTGAAGGCAGCAGGCAGAGGCCATGATAGGAAGCCTGCGGCACTGTAAACAAGATGCATATGGAGGGTGAATCGCATGCACACAACCTGGATCGAGGGGAAAGTCCGCCTTTGAGATCTGGCCGGCTCCTCACACTTACGGCGGGCTCACCTCCCCCCTTTTCTCTAATTGCTGACCAACCCTTGGCAAGTAATCCAGTAGGTCTCCTTGCAGCCCAGAAGACTTTTCCCCCCCTCCCTCTTCTTCCACAGAACTACAGACAGAGAAAGGAGCGAGATATCTATACATATGTCTTCAATGACAAACCTGGCCAGTTTATTTGATTTTTTTTTTTTGCAATGCCCAAATAATGCATGTCCCCCTCCTAATGATCCCCCCCCTCCCGCCCCCACTCCGATCCACATTCCAAAGGAGCTCGGCCAGCGAGGATGCCACGACCCTTCCCCAAAACACTTTTACCTGGAAGGGGCGGCAGAAGAAGGGGACCTTTTTTCGAGAATGGGGAGAGGGTCTTCTGTGCAAAAGGGAGAAAAAGAGGGGGGGCTTCCCGTCGCAAACGAGGGGACGGGGACGCGGTGGGGAGGGGGGCTAAGGGGTGGGATGTTATTCAAGAATTTGCCGAGTCTGCAAGTCGGCACTCTCCCCTAGCTCCCACGAACTCATCCATCACCTGGCCCCTCCGCGTGCGTGCCTGTGTCTCGGGGGTCCGGAGACCCCTGCAGAAACCCACCCCCCACCCACCCCCCCTCGGCCTCCCCTGCCCTCTGAGCAGCCGGACTCCCCCCCCCAGCCCCGCCGTTGGCGCATCCCGCCCGTCCTTGCAAAGGATGCAGCAGCCCCACGCGCGGAGATGGCCGCGGGAGTTTTTCCGCCGGCTTTACCTGGGACCCTGCAGCCCATTCTCCATGGCTGGCCGGCTGGCTGGCTCCGCTTCCTTCCCTTCCCTTCCCGCCCGGGTCCGGCTGCTGGGCTCGGCGCGCTCTCCCTCCGCTCTCTGCGCCCGCGCTCCTTCGGCCCCCCGCCCCGAAGCCCACTCCCCTCCAGGCTACTCCCACCGCCCCTCCCCCGTCCGCGCCATTGGCTCCCCCCCACCCCCGAGGAGGCCTCCCCCCCCTCTCCAGCCAGGCAGAATCGGGACTCTCTGTCACGCCTCCTTCGGCGGAGCTGCGCGGCCATTGGGCGCAAGGCTGTCACTCCGCCGCCCGGGGGGCTCTGCCCCCTCATTTGCGGGCACTTGGCTGGGTCGAGGCTGCCCCCCCGCGGCTGCGGCTGGGAGCTCGGAGGGGAGGGGGGCGCGCGCGCGACCGGTGGGAGGCCGGGCTCAGCGCAGGCAGCTTAGCCGCGCAGAGCCTGCTCGCCGATCCGGAGTCGCGCCGGTTTCTTTGGGCAGGTGGGAGCCTCTGTGGATACACCTGGAGACGAATGCGGCGGAGTGCGGGGGGGGGGGGGAAGGGGAGGTGGGGGGGCAGCCTACTCCGGAGTCTGCAGCACCTTGCGGGGCTGCAAGGGAGTTGACTCCGGATTGCGCTACCCTGGGCGCGGCTTGGCCTCGAGACTTGCGCGATGCGCAAGTACGGGAGAGGATCGGGTGGAAAAGGGAAAGGCGAGGAAAGAAGAGGTGCCCCCCCAATGCGTTCGTAGGGTTGGGCCCCTTTGCTTTCCCTGCGCCCCCCAAAACCGTCCACGTTTATATAGTTACTGTACTTCAAATGGGATAATTCGAATTAAGCCCTGGGAAGTTAGCGGTGGTTTCCCCCCGCCTTGCATCCGTCGGGAGAGCAACCGGCTTAGATTATTCCCATGTCCCGAGCCGGGTCCAAACCCCGCAGCCCTAATCGGCCGTTGGAGGAGGAGGAAGAGGAGGAGGGTGTTTGTAGTCCAGCGCACCGGGAGCGGAGTCCCCCTTTCCCCGCAAAGGGCTTTGCCAGGCGGAGCGAAACCTGCCCCTGCCCGCCGTCCCGCAGACACCTGTTCGGGCGGACGGTCTCCCGGGTCCTGCACCGGCGAGCATCTCGGACGGCGGGACCGGTTGTGTGAACGTGCCCCCTGGCGGGCGAAGGAGGCAACCTCCCCGTTCTCCGGCTGCGAAAGCCCTTTCCGCGAGGGGAGACGGGCGCTCGGCGGAGGCGCTTAAGGCAGGACTTATTTGGGGAGGGAGGGGGAGACACCCCCCGGTTAACCATTCCTTCTCTTCCGACGGAGCCCCCCCCCCCAGTCGCTCAAACAAAGCAAACGGGGAAGAAGGCGCAGAGCCTCTGGGTGCCCCCCAGCAACCGGCTTTCTGTCTCCCCTGGCCTGGCCGGCTCCTTTGATGGCTGCCTTTCCCAAGCGGGCGCCCTCTGCGTTTCAGGACTACAACTCCCATCCCTTCCAACCAACCAAAACATTCCTGGATCAACTGGGGCGAGGGGGAAGGGAGGGGGCTTCGTTTGGGGGTTGCAGAATTCCAGGGAGGGGGCAAAGGGGAATGATAGGAGGGGGGAATTCTGGGCCACTGTCCACAAGAGGGCACCGTGGGATCTAGGACAAGTCAGCTTGTTCTCATTTTACAGAACAGAATACAGGAAAGAGCGGAAGGCGCAGGAGAATTATAAAAGAACAGACTTAGAAGGGACCCTGGAGATCTTCTAGTCCAGCCCCCTGCTCAAGCAGGAAACCCGACCTATAACAATTCAGGGATGCCGCAACAATCATTAAGTATGAAAAACAGTCATAAGTCATTTTTTTTCAGAGCTGTTGTAACTTCGAACGGTTGGTAAATGAACTGTTGTAACTCAAGGACCACCTGCAGTAGATTCTTTTCCGTGCTCCCTGAGCCCCAGCTGGCCAAAATCCAAATTCCTGACCCTCATTCCGTCTTTTGGCTCTTTTCCAAACTTCATTTGTTTGTGCTTGACTGTTTTGTTTCATCACATTCTAGTCCAATGAATAATCCCTGCTGCCCATTTGTAATTTCTAAGGCTGGCAAATGTTTTGGCAACTCTGTTTATTTTAAAATGAAAACAGATTGTGAACTGACAGCTTAATCAGACAGTCTTTTTCCGTGAGTTCAACGTGAGTCTTGGTGACAGCCTGGACATGTCCTTTCTGTGCAACACGGGGAAGTAAGATTTGCTACGGCCTAATTCTGGACTGTTTTCTCGATTTTCCAGCCCAGTTTTTGGCCCTTCTGAAACTTGGAACTTCTGCCCAAGTTTTAATCAGGCCCGGCCAGTTCAGATTTTGAGCCCAGACAAGGTCATCCATCTTGTTCTGTGTCTTCCCCCCGTTCTTAAAAGTGAATGAAAAAGCTGTATTGTAAGGTAGGCTACAAAAGAAACAGGTGATTCAGTTCTTCTAAATCAAAATTCTTAGGCAAACTCAGCAGCAGCGGCCTTTTGCGTAAATGGGCTGGTGGGGATGCACTGCCTTATCATAGCCTGCCTGAAAAAGTTCGGCAATGGTTGAATGTTGGATGTTGCTTCGGGAGTCAAGTTTAGGAGAACTAACTGGTTTTTCATCTCTATTTTGGACAAGGTGCTTAG